GCTGGGTCAGGCCTTGTCTTTGGTGAGACAGGGCCCCGTCTGTCCATCAGTCTGTCAGCCATGGCACACTGGGGACAGTGTGACACTCTGCCCAAGCCAGCTCCTGAGTGGCTGGGTGACCAGAAGTGCCACCTGGGGAGAGAGCCCTTGGTAGCCCTACTGGCTTAAATGGCACCTACTGGCTTAAAAGGCAGAGCATGAGGTGACCAAATACATGGCCCTGTCTCCTCTTGGGGAGTCTGTCCCATCCACGTTGGAACCCAGCGCTTGGCAACTCGTTTAAATGAGAAATATCTGCTAAGGAAAGTGGGAACGTTCCTGGAATGGAGGGAAGACCTGTCGTGAAACTTTTTTTAGTTTCAAGAATGATGGGGCTTCCAGGGCAAAGTGTAGGAAAAGGAATAACCGCTCTTTACTGGGAAATTTATAAACCAGAAGAGAACAAACAACACAAACCCAGAACTTTCCCTCCCGCTCAGCGCTGTTGGTTTGTGTGGCAGTTATAACCGCGGCCAGCAGGGGGCGCTGCAGGGAGCGCTCCCTCCCGGCCAGCAGGGGGCGCCCCGGTGGAGCTCCATCCCCTCAGGGGCCATGGCAGCCTCGGGCGGGAGCCAAGAGGGGAAATCGCTCCCTTTGCAAACCCAAGGGCACCAATCAGTCCCTGCACCGCTACCAGAGCCAGGAGGGGAAATCGCTCCTTTTGCAAACTCACGGACACCAATTGGTCCCTGCACCACCACCAGCAGCGGGCAGAATCCACCAAGGCAGCAGGTTGCATCCTAGAGCCCAGTGGCAGAGTAGCAGAGTCCCGGGCCTGGCACACGCTCTGCACAATGCCCGCGACCGCTCTCCATGATCCCGAATGGAAGGAAGGCAGCGCCTGACCCCAGGCAGGTCTTGGGTCCACAACAGCACCTCTGGTGGCTTTATGCCACAATTCCTGCAAACCCTCAGACTTTCACTCAGGTGAGGAGGGCAGGGATGGAGCAGCTTTGGGGACACCTGGAATCCACACAGGGTCACTCCCCACAGCCACACCATGGCCATAGACAGAGCGACTGCTCGATATTTCCACACTTTTCCCTTTGTCTGACAGCCAAACACAAATATTCTTTCCAAGTCGTTCCAAAAAGCTGCAGGTTTGAGACAGGAAGAAGGAGGGACCCGGGCAGGTTGCTGAGCAGATTGTTATTGTCTTTGCAGGGTTTCTGGGGCTCTCTCAGAACCTTGCTGCAAGGGACAAAGTTATCAATTGCTGCATTTCCAGGCTGGTTCCCTCACAGCTGCCCCTGCAGGGGAGGTTTCCAGCCAGCCCTGCTCTGAAAACCATCAAAGGGCCTGGCAGAGCCACTGCTTGGGCTCCCTTTGGGGTTTGTGCTTCTTGCAGGGTGGAGCAAACCACAGGCAGGCAATTTCCCACTGCAGAATTCTCACCTCTGCAGCAGCTCCACAGACCCAGAGCCCTTCGGAATCTGTCTGGGGTGACCCCCAGGCCATTTGCAAATTGTGGGGGCTGTGCTGGCTCTGGGTCACCCCAAAATATGAGGCACTCAGGGAACAATCTGAGACCTACAGACCCACCCAGCCGCTGCCCATCCCTGGGACCCCCATTCCCCTGGAAATCACATCATGGGAACCCCATTTCTTATGTCCCACCTTGCCTGGGACCCCCATCCCAGTTCTGACATTCCCCAGGATCCCCATGGCTCAGCACCCCATCCCCAAGGAACCTTCTCTTGTTCATTCCATCCCCTGAAATCTCCCTTCCCCCAGGACCTTGATTCTCCCAGGACTCCCCATTCCCAATGGACCGCCCATGCCCCCTGCACCCCATCCTTGGCACACCCATGTCATGACCCCAAATCCCTGGAGCCCACGTTCCTCTGGCACTCCCATCCCTGAATCCCCCCAGCCCTGGGGTCCCCCATTCCCATAGCCACCCCCATTGCCGGTGACTCCCCCCTCCTCAGGACCCCCATTCCCAGGGACCCCATCCCTGGCCCTCCCCATTCCCCTGGACACCTGTGGGGACAGGGACACAGGGATGCAGGACAGGGACCAGGGGACAAGCACCCTGTGCTTGGGCCATGGGGACAGATGCCAGAGGAGTGGGACCACAGGCACAGGACCATGGGGATGTGGCTGTGGGGCTGGCAGGGGTGACCTGAGCCAGCACAGGGTCCCCATGCCTGAGCATGGCTTGGCTGCTGTGTCCCTGTCCTCGAGACATCTGTGCCACACCTGTGTCCCCACAGAGACCTTTTGGGGACAGCCCCCACACCCTGTGTCCCCATGCTGCTGTCCCCACAGTGCCACTCCCACTGAGCCCTGTCCCTTCTCCCTTCCAGCCCAGACCCTCGGCCTCGCTGGTGAGTCCTCGGGTGATGCCATGGCCCCACCCCGCTGTCCCCAGCCCCGCGCTGGCCCTGGCAGGCTTGTTTCCCCTGGCAGGCTGGTGTCACCTGTCACCTGCAGGTGCCCAGACCACCCAGCTCCTGGTGGAGCCCCTCTGGAGGCCGGCGGTGCTGTGGGACTGGGTGACACTGACCTGCCAGGGCTCGGGGACAGCCGGTGACTCCACCTGGTACAGGGATGGGAAGAGATGGGGGCAGCAGGGATGCAACCACCTCATTGTGAACGAGAAAGGCACCTACACGTGTGACAGCCCCGACACCGGGCTCAGCCACCCCATGACAGTCTCAAACGATGAGGGGTGTTTGGGTGTCCCCAGCCTGGCACCCGTGGGGACCCCGAGGGCTCTGGGTGGGCTCTGCTCCATGGGTTACCTCCTGTGTGACCAGAGTCCATCCCCTGCTCTCATCCCAGTACAAGAAGACTTCTCTCTCACAGTGGGGGGCCCCTGGTGCCTCCCAGTTCCATCATCACCCTCCTGATGCCCCTGGTGTGACAGGTCCCCTCTGTCCCCCAGACTGGCTGGTGCTGCAGGTGCCAGCACGGGCACTGCTGGAGGGGGACACGGTGACACTGCGCTGCCGGGGCTGGTGGAACAAACCATTCACATATGTGTCCTTCTACCATGAAGAGAATCAACTGAGGGGGCCCCAGGATGGGGCCGAGATGTCCCTGTCCCCCCTGCAGCTGAGCCACAGCGGCCGCTACCACTGCAGAACCTATGTGAGCTATGCGGTTTCACCGTGGAGAGAGTCGGAGAGAGTGAAAGTGACAGTGCACAGTGAGTGCAGGGATGGGGACAGGAAAACCCGACATCCTCTGAGCTTTTCTCCAGCACTGCCTGAATCCTTCATCCCTCCCTTTACTCCTCCCTGGCTCACCCACAATTTCCCAAGTCCCTCTTGCTTTCCCCCAGGACTGCCCAGTTCCCCCTGCAGATCCCTCATCCCTCTCTTTGACCTCCCCAGCCCGCCCTCCATTCCTCACCCCTTCCAATGTCCCTGCTCCACCCTCTGCTCTCCCTTCCTTCCCTGCCTCCACCCGCCCATCTCTACACCCCAAATCATTCCCTGAGTCTCCTCAGTCTCTCCTGTGGTTCCCCATCCCTGCCTGGCTCTCTCCCCCTTTCCACGGGGTCTCGCCATTGTCCCCATGTCCCAACATGCCTCCCAGGGTCCCCTTCTGCTCACTGGGATCCTCTCTGCTCCCCTCCAATGTCCCCTCTTTCCCCTCCCTTGTCCCCCACCATTCCTGGGTCCCCAGTCCCTCCTGTGTCCCCCTGTCGGTGTCCTGCTCTCGGGGGTCTCCCTGTGGGTGCAGCCCCCCGGGGGACAGGTGGCACTGGGGGACCGCCTGGTGCTGAGCTGCACGGTGGCCATGGGGACAGGTCCCCTGTCCTTCTCCTGGCACCGGGAGGGCACAGAGGCACTGCTGGGCACCAAACACCAACTGGAGCTGCCCCACGTTGGGGACAATGACAGCGGCCAGTACCGGTGCCGGGTCAGCGACGGGGACAGCGTGGCCGAGAGTGACCCCCTGAATGTCACCGTCCTGGGTGAGCGGGACCCTCGGGCTGGGGGTGACCCCACCCACGGCACCCCCATCCCACCTCTCCTGGTGCCAGCCCTGTCTGTGTCCCCGCAGTGCCCGTGGCCGATGCCACCATCACCCCCGGTCCCCTGGCACACCAGGTGCACACAGGTGACAACGTGACCCTGCGCTGCTCGGTGCAGGTGGGCTCAGCCCCTGTCACCTTCACCTGGCTGAAAAATGGGCAGGAGCTGGCCCGGGGTCCCCT